GACAGAGGCGAGGCTGCCGGACACTGGCGCCACCGGGCCCTCTGACCACCACCAGTAGGGAACGGGTGAAGTGCCTTGCTCAAGGACACAACAACCGAGACTGTCGGAGCTGGGCCTCGAACCGGCAACCTTCTGATTACAAGACGAACACACACTTCGATCATCGCTCAGAGTTCAGGCTCTTATTCGAGGACACTTTGACATACGGATATTGAAAAGTAGTAAATGACTCACTCTATCACCTGAGCCACAGCAGCCAAAAACTAATTAAAGACAATTGTTGTTGCTATATTGCAGTTATGATGCCGAAACTAAAATACTGATATTCCTACTCGTATAGCCTACTGTGTTGCAAATAACTTATATAACTTAGTGTAATTGTTCTTTTTGCACATCTGCAATGGATCCAACATCTGCAACACGCAGAGTGGAATATATTGACACTTATGACCAGTTAATGTAAAAACCAGTTAATCTGGAACACATTTAACTGTGCCAGCGTCATCCTCACTGTGTTTTTATTTAAAACTGGGGGTTGCTTTGGCTTAATGTTGTCAACCTCTTTTTCACACGCTGCTCCTGAATAAGTTTGTATTGCAGGTCTGTTTTCAGTCGCAAATGTGGGTGAAACGCTCATTGCATAGTTTAGGACATCGGTAAGGGACAGAGTCATGAATTAAACGAGGCATTGAAGCAAAGAATTTGTGTCGAGAATTTTTTATAATCGAATTACTTGATAAATCATTGGAGCCCTACTACACTCCAATTCTGGGAGTAATTCATCTGCAGAAAGGTGCAACAATCAAACATAAAGATGAGTTTTTATTCATATGGTAATATAGAACTGTATAACCACAATAGAACATTTGTCCTGTTATGGTTTCACCATTGGTTATGTTGGCTTGTTTGCACTTCTCTTGTATAGTGAGTATTTAAAGGTGATTTACAGTTGTATAACTATTTATGTGAAAAAGGAGAGAGAAAATGGAAAAACAAATACATAAAAGATGGTGCTGCTGTGCCGTCAACCACTGGTACATATTGAAATCTCAGTCTTACAGCTTTTTTAGACTAAAAGGTTCAGGTGAACACCTATTTGCTAATTAAAGGATCTGTACTACACAGTAAGCCATATTACTTTTCAGACAACTGCATTAAAAATGCACCAAACCTCAACAAACAAGGTCACAAAGTCCTGTTTAGTGACTTCTCCTGGCAGAGCTGACAGCTGTTCTGTGTTCTTAGCAGCTTCCTGTGTCATAACGCCTCTCAATCAAAGCTTTCACAACCTTTCACAGCCTCGCCAGTTTCAAAATAGACGTACGATAAAGTAATTCACCCCATGTAGAGTTGTTTAACAGGCTGCAAACATGCGGTTTAATCCTGGAAATGCGGGCTTTTTAACATCAGAGTCCATTGGTGTTGGCTTACTTTTGGAGCCCGCCTCAAGTGGCCATTTAAGGAACTGCAGGTTTTTTTGCATATATGTTTACACAAAGCGATAAAGTGATGAGTGTTTGGTTATTTGTTTATTTTATAGCAATCCAATCAGTGAGTCGCTGTATGTAAATGAAAAAACCTTTAACAACGGACTGGGTGAGTGATTTTGCTTTAAAATAATCACAGATTTTAAAAAGCTGACTGATTTTTGCTTAACACTTTTTACGTGTGTATTTTGTGTTTTTGTAGATGACATTCCAGGAGTGTATGGAAACGTTTTCCCATCGATAGAATTAACAAACGGTACGTCCAGCCTTATATTTTCTGACTACATTCGAGATGTGAGAAGTCGATTGACGAATAAAGAGTTCAACTCATTCAAACTATTGTTTCACCAAACAGACGACGACGACTATGAAAATTCAGACTTCCTAAAAGAGACAGGTAAGTTTAGTTTTTGTCAAGTTTGTGCTTTTGTTCTGTGTTTTTTTTTGTAATTACTTAATCGAGAAATTGAAATCAAGAGTCCAAGTAGACGTGAAAACGAGGCATCTGATTGACAAATAACTTGTGGATTATACTGACTAAGAAAAAATAACAGAAAGCAGACCGGTGGCTGAGGACCATAGAATCCCAAAATGTGTGTATGCGTGAGTCTGGACGGGTACTGAGGAAGGATTTTAAGGATTTTAAGTGAGAAGAATCTTGTAAATGATACATACTTACCTGTGAGCCAGTGGAGGTTTAAATTATTATGTAGCAACAAAAGAGGTAATACATACTTCCCCTGGGCAAGGTTATCCAATGGGCCCAGGAGTCCAAAGAAGCAAAAAACAAAACAGAAAAAACAAAAGACTCGCTGAAATCAATAATAGATTTAAAACGAGGAAAAAATAGGTGAGGCAGGCTGAAGTGAGTAACGCTGATAATCTCTTTATTGTGGCAGCTGTTAGTGGGTGAGATCTATTAGGGAGCAAGTGAACATTTTGTCCTGAAAGCTGACGTGTTAGAAACAGCAAAAATGTGCAAGAGTAAAGATGTGAGTGAATCTGATGAGGTCCAAATTGTGATGGGGTTGGGTGTTCCCAGTCTGGAGTATCTATCAAAACTCAAGAGTTGTGCAAAGAAGGAACGATGGTGAGCCAGCAGCACGGTCATGTGCAGCCAGGGCTCACTAATGCATATGGGGAGCAAAAGCTGGCCTATTTGGTCCAAACCAACAGACGAGCCATGTAGCTCAAATTGCTGAAAAGGTTATGCTGGTTCTGATAGAAAGGTGTCAGAATACAGAGTGAATCACATCACTTGTGTCCTGCCATCCATGTGGATGTTATTTTGACCCGTAACACCTACCTAAGCTTGTTGCAAGCTGTGGTCACCCTTTCATGGAAACTGTATTCATGTATGGCTGTTGCCTCTTTTAGCAGAATAATGCGCCCAGCCACAAACCAGAAATGGTTCAGGAATGATTTGAGGAGCACAACAACAAGTGTTGACTTGGTCTCCAAATTCTCCAGATCTCAATCCAAACGAGCATCTGTGGGATGTGCTGGACAAAGAAGTTCGATTGGTGGACGTCCCATCTCACCACTTCCACGACTTAAAAGATCGTTAGCTAACATCTTGGTGGCAGATACCACACCACAATTTCAGCAGAGTCCATGCCTGTAGGCAGGTCGTCATAATGTTATATCTAATCGGTGTATATGGATTGCATGTTTTGTTTAATTATTAAAGAAGATGAAAAGCCCTGACTGTCAAGCTCTTGTGCCTATTAGAGGGGGCTATGCACACACATGTGACAGATTAAAGGAATAACCAAAATAACACAGCTAATTTATGAAGGTGTTGGGCAACACAAACAGTTTCAGTGTGCCTCAGCATTGATTCTCCAATTCACCTTTGCAGGGGAGATGGACCAGCAGTCTTCAAAAAAGTCTTTGCTTATGTTCTAATGATGGATGCGGAGAGTCACCTGTAACTGCAACTTTATTTCTTAATGTCGAAAATTATTCAAAGGTATTATGTTCTGTGTACACAGGAATACTTTTACTTTAGGTACTTTAAGTTTAATTTCTTGCTACTGCTGAAGCAAAGTGCTACTACTTCTGCTATGGCTAAAATGCAAGTACTACTACTTCTATATTATAATTACAAATACATGTATTATATGCTGACTTAATTCCATGATAAATATATTTTGTACACTGCTCTTCTTTAACTAATACTACCTACAATATAAGTTCTAAATATTTTAAAAGTAGTAATCTAATAAACCAAACATACTTTGTTAATCAAGTGTCTGTATTTTCTCAGCATTACAGTTACAAAACTGGAACTGGAACTTGAATCAACACAATTAGCAATAATACTCTAGGTACTCTTTTTCCATGGAAAATTTTGCGTCATCACTGAGAGTTACAAACTGTCTAAAATCTTTCATCTTTATAAAATGATCAGTGTGGCTGCTCTACCAGGTGTAACAGTAAAGTTTAACATCCAGGCATCCGTGAAAACAGAATTTATGAAGTTTAATGGAGTTTGAAGTTAGCAGAGATTTAGCTCGCTAGTTTCCATCTAAAGATGACATACCATGTTCTGACTGAGGGATTTCTAAACAGTTCAAACGTACAGCTCTGCTATTACTTCCAACATAAATGAAGACAGAGAACTAAACAGCAGTGACATTTGTAGGGTTACTTTAGTTGTGCCAACTGGTATATAATGATTAGGGCTGAGAATCGTCACTGATTTCTAAAATCAGTTCAATTCCGATTCATGATTCGATTCGATCCATGATTGGATTTGATTCAATTTTGACTCAGACAGTCAGAAATATTATAATTTTGATCATTTATCAGTACTGACAGTTGTGAGACTTCATCAGAGATGTACGCAGCACAGCAGATGCCTTTGTGTCAAAGTAACTGAGGATAAAACAGAAAAACATGAAGGAGATTTTCCTGGCCTGGCTTTTTACAGTAGATAACCTTAAAAATATTCTGCAGTAGAACATTACCTGATGCTGCTGAAGTGAAGCAGAGCAAAGTTACAGAGGCTTTACTAGAGACACAGCTAAGCCTTTTGCAATTTGGCATAATTTTAAAAGGTTTGACATTTCTTGTTGGAAGTCATTTAAAAAAAAAGACAGCGGCTGACAGCGCTGTAAACAACGTTAGACTGGAGGGCAATAAGCTAGCAAATAATGCAGAAAACAGAGTTTTGAGATGGGAAGTACACTGAGAGAGAGAGAGAGCTGTGCAGGAAATGTGATTTCATCGTGGTGGAAGCAAAACAGCAAAAGTAAGAGAGAATTCATGACGATGTTTATGTGAAGTGTAGTTTTGACCTTCTTTTGCTTCTGGTTCGGTGAATTTTGGTCACAATGATGAAACCTGCAGCTTCAGAATCTGTGAGCTGTCGGCTTTCAGCCCAGATGGCGTGTCTGTTGGGTGATCACCCATCCTCGAGGATGCCGACATCTCGCAGATTCTGATGCGTCTGGTCCGCGCTTTGTGTTTACGTCTTTGTGTGGAGTCCGTTTACCTACTCTCATTTGCTGTTTTAGCTGTTTAGTGGTTGCTGAAATAGTTTTGTGAGCTTTAACCTGAAATTCTGGCGTTTCTGGCAAAATACATTTATATTTAAAAATCGATTCAGTATTTAATGAATCTATATCGCTTTATTCAAGCTAAAATCGATTTTAATTGGAAAACCGATTATCGAAACCCACCCCTAATAATGATTCGCTATGAGGTGTCTAGCTACACAGCTATGGTTAGCATAATATAAAGACAGTGAAGCTGGAGGACGAATGTTAAAAAAAGTTAAAAAGTTAACGTGAGGGTTCCCGATGGTTTGGGACAAATGCAACTGCATGGCAGGATGCTGTAAACGGACCAAACTTCAGTCAGGAGAACAACTGAGATATTGTGGATGGATTATTGTTCAGATTAAACAGAACAAGATACAAAGCATTAAAACAAGTTAAAGACACAACAGCCTTAATAAATGCAGAGCATCGAGGAGCTCTCAGCCACACTGCTTTGTAGCTCCTCCGACGAGGCTTGATCGGCGTCAGGTGTGCGTGAGGATCCTTGGGTGTGACCGGTCAGCTGGCAGGGCCCCACCCACCATGCCTGAAGGTGCCTGTCACGACCGCACCCACACACACACACACACACACACACACTTGCCAATACACAAACATGGAACAACAGCAGTGCAGAACACACACACATAATATAATAATTCCACTCTAAGGGACTCTAATAAGGGACTCTAGGTCACTCAGACTCAGATCCCTGACAATTTTAGGCTGGGAATGAGCTACAAATGCATTTTGAAAAGCCTGGCACTGCAAGGAAGCATTATTCCAGAGAGACATTTAAACAGGATATTGAGAGCCCAGTTCCTTTGCAGACTTAAGTACGACCCAGACGCTGGGAAAGATTTTATTGTCAACCAACTGCAAGGGCCTGGGAAGGATCACGGTTATTGGTCAAATGTTTTGTGCCCACAAATTAGCATTTTGTGCGCACGTTATACCTATTTCGTGCCCACGAAGTAGTATTTTGTGGCCACAATTTATTTATTTTTTGGACCATGTCATCAGAGGGGCTCCGTAAAAACCAGTCATTGTAGTGTCTCACTTTAACCAAACCACACCACTGCAGCGACTGTTGGTTGGTATTTTAGCCGTCTTTTTCATCAGAGACAAAAGGTCCCTTTGTTTGTGTGCTGTAAACCGTGTCCACAAGCTTTCAAACAACCTCCCTGTAAGCTTCAAACTGAAAGAGAAGCTGTTTAACCTGGTGAAATAACTATTTTTATTTAATAAATTATGTCATTTGCATCAGTTGAACTGGGGTCTCTCGTGTGAATATCAAATAATCACAACACCAAAGTTTTTTTGTGACAGGTTGCTGGCTTCCGAAGATGCATTTTAAAGTTGTTTCTTTGATAACTTGTCTGTTATGTGTAGACACAACACTGGTTTATCTTTTGAGTTAGGTGTTTATTAATGCTTGAAAGATTCAGGTCGGTTTTAAATGGTTTAACAGACAAACAAACTAAACATTCATCTGAAATCATCAGGTACAAGGACTGGACTGACTCAAAAAAGCAGCAAATATAAAAAAAACAAACTTTTAACGACCTTTTAGAAAGACAGAGAAACTATTATGCAACACCGTTTTTTGGGGTTTTTTTTAAATTTGAGGACAGTCTAGCTCCTTAAAAGGGTTCACTCAAGACTTTTTCACAGAGCTTCAATGATTACAATTACCAAGCACAACTTAACACCCTGAAACATGGCCCTTGATTTCAGATGTACAGAAAAAGACAGAAGCACCGGCAGCGGGTACCTCTCCAAATGATTCATCACAAGGTGAGCACACATAGCTGCCACTAAAAGTTATTCCACGCAATAATTTGTATTCATAACAGTTTCAAACGAAAGCTCAGCAACACTGACGTCAAGTAACATCAACCAGATGACGTGAGCAGGGCATTTTGGGGAACCCAGAGTGTTTCCCGCTGATTAAATACCATAAAATACGTAGTTATTTTAACGCCATGTAGCACTTTTATGGCGTTGGACGTCTTTATTTGCATGCTCACAGTTTAACCACAAGACCATAATACTGCCATATATAACATGTCTAACTTTTCTGACTGATAACATCACAGGAGCACTAACAGAAAATGGCCCACTGAGGATGCTTATAGGTCCCAGAGTCCTGTGAATGTCTAATTGGCTGCCTCACTATATTACTTACTTGGTGCCATATTACTGACTACCTGGGGCATTTGCTTTATACAGTAACAGCCAACATATTACAACAGCTGCTTGGAAATCTCAAGCACTCAGATATATGATTTAAATGCAACAAAGGAACAAAGAGCACGGTGAAAAAGTCTTGTGCTACCTTTCATTTCTTTATATTTTGTCAGGAAAATGGGAAATAAGTTCCACAACTGATGAAGACCATCAGAAAGCCTGGAAAACTATTGCTTAAGACCACTTTCAAAAATAAGAAATGTGGCTGCTTGGAAAAAAAAAAATAAGCGTGGCTTAAGACTTTTCCACAGTATGGTTACTGTGGAAACATTCATTTAAAGGCCTGCTGTCAGCTGTGCTTAAGCAGAGCTGCCCAGGTTTTAGTTGACCTCACAGCCCAGTTTGTCAGTGGTGGTAGTTTTAGTCATTATGCAAATGTACTGTTTATAAGGTTGGGTAAACCTGCAGTCAGTTGAGACTGAAGAAGTCACGTGGCGCTGGCAGATGGGGCAGTCGCATCTGCTGCTACTGGCCGATGGCCAGTTCTGCAGGAGTTCCTTCCTGTTAAAAGGGAGTTTTTCCTTCCCACTGTTGCCAAAGCGCTTGCTCATAGAGGGTCATATGATTGTTGGGTTTTTCTCTGTATGCATTATTGTAGGGTCTACCTTACAATGTAAAACGCCTTGAGGTGACTGTTGTTGTAATTTGGCGCTGTATAAATCAAACTGAACTGAACTGAAGTCACTGGAATGAATGATGAAACAATTTTGCCACTGAAAACGCTGCGATCAGATGAACAGAAACAACTTTTTAGGATGCCCAGTTTTTAGATTCTTCTGTTTAAGTTCATGCTGTTAAGTTGCTCAATGGTCTGGACGTGTTTTCATCATTAACCACTTATGCACATGTTTTACAGATGAGGCAGATTACGTAAATCAGATCAGTAATGTACTTGAAAGAAGCATCGGTGAGAAGATGTGACCATCCTGGACAGCTCTGCAAGTTATCTGGTGGAAAACTGAAGCTGAAAACTGCTACTTTAAAAAAGATTCTCATGTCTGTCTGACTGACGTGCAAATAACATGCACAGATGCTTTTGGACACTGAAAGTGAAAACCAAGTCTGCCACCTGGTGGTGAAATAAATCAATTTAAATATAGTGTAAACAAATTTGTGGGATTTTTTTTTATCTTTGATAAAAACCTTTTTCTAAAAAAAAAAGTATTAATTTTTTAATTCAGTCTGTATATGTAAAAAAAATGAGTGATGAAAATGATAAAAAAAAAAAAACATGATGAAATTAACTGAAACTGACCACACATGGGCTATTATTTGCTTTTTCTGCTCATATTCTAGAATTTTTTCAAATTTATGACACTGATCCCTGTGAAAAAAGTATAATGTATTACAGAGGAAGTAGACTTTATTATATTATATACATGCGATAATTTATAGTTGTGGTCAGAAGTTTACATACTCTCATCATGGGCATGAAGGTCATGGTATTTTGGGGCTTTTAATGATTTCTCTGAACTGATCTTTTTCCAGGGTGGAATGATTGTACAACATACAAGTCAGTCTGCCCCAGGGCAGCTGTGGCTACAACTGTAGCTTGCCTCCACCAGTGTGTGAATGTGAGAGTGAATGGGTGGATGACTGGGTGTGTAAAGCGCTTTGGGGTCCCTAGGGGGGACTAGTAAAAGCGCTATACAAATACAGGCCATTTACCATTATACATCTTTAATGACTTTAGAAAATGAAAACTGGGTGCACAAGTTTGAATCTATTTTGGATTTTCTCTAATCCGGCTCAAATATATACATACACCTCCTCTAATCTTTGGTTAAATATCCATTGGTAAGCTTCTGGAATACATTTCCTGGATATTTGATTACTCTTCTTGGCAGTATTGGTAGAGTTCATTTAAACTGATTGGTTTCCTGGCACAGGCACGGACCTGACGTTTAAGCACAGTCCACAAATTTCCAATAGGGCTGAAGTCGGGGCTTTGGGAAGGCCATCCCAGAAGCTTTGTTAGCCTGCTCTATCCTATTCTGAAATCAGTTCTCGTGTGTGTTTGGGATCATTGTCCTGCTGGAACACAAGTTTGAGTTTGTTAAAAGATTTGAGTAGATGTATATATTTCAGTTTATATGTATACTTCTGACTCTGTGTGGAATAAAGAAAATCCAAAAGATTAACATGTATGCTGTACAATCTGGAAAAAGATCAAAGACATTCCCATGATTCCCATGACATTTATGCCCATTTATGATCATTGTGTGTAAACTTCTCACCAAAACTATATGTGCAACAAAAACACAAAGGATTGATTCCAAGTATGTCTCTCTCTGTAGTAATTAACTTATTTTATTGTTAATAAAATAAAGTTATTTGATTAACTTATTTTTGGTTTTATTTTTGTTTTGCAAGTACGCAACAGTGTTTCAGTTTTACTTTGTTTTTTAAACATTTTGGTTCCATTTAATGACATTTTTTCAAACCTATTTTTAGTCATTATAATAACCATGGTGTTAAAGTATATTATGTTTACACAGTGATTCTATGCGGTAAATAATAAAGCCAGATGGGTTTTTCTTCTTAATAAAGCCAGAGTCATGTAAATCATTTCGTATTTAATGGATTGTTTTGACATGCTGGTGGAAGTCTTCATTAATAACTTCCGAGTTAACAGCTTCTTAGTCCTCGGTGGGTTCAGGCTCTGTGTCAGATTAGCTTATTATAAAGTCATAAATTCAGGCTCATGCATCATCTCACACAGTTATTCTTAAATTTGAAAACAAAAATAAGAAGCTTCTAAAGTGGCTCTTTGATTAAATAAAAGAAAACATGACTATGGGTCAAACACAATAGTACAGGATTGTGGCTCTCAAACCTCCAGTCCAACCACATGGGAGCATCACCTGTTCACTGTGATACACAACATCCAATCAAAATTACATCATTAAGAGACATTTGTTGGAAATCCTGGTATGACTTGTCGGATTCCAGAATTTGAGCCCCTATTACTCTCATGATAGTTCGTATGCTGCTTAAACTTAGAGAAGCTGACTCAAGTCTACTATTTATGGTTAATAAGGGTAACCTTTAAAAGTCATGAGCTACTCATAATACATAAACTCCTACATCTTTGGAAGAAGTTTTTAAGGACATTTTTTTTATTATGGTCACTCCTTAAAAAATATATTATAATGATGATGATAATAATAATAATAATAATAATAATAATAATAATAATAATAAGCAGATAGACCAGCAGGAGACCACAAAATGTGTCTCACCATCAGGATTTGAACCCTGACACTGAAGTCAGGCATGCCAGAGAGATTTGGAGACATTATGAAGGGTCAACACTAAAGACAGAGACGACCACCACCAGGCCATTTCCTTCTACAAAAGTTTCCTGTCCTGGTGATGCAGATGTCCCAGAATAAGCTTTATCGCGTCATCAGTTTCACCAGTAAATGGCTGCATTTCTATCACAGTAACACCTTCAAATGAGGAGTCGTTCACAGCAGAGTTTTTAACACAGAGACAGTTTTATTAGCCTGAACCGATCAGCCGAGACATCTCAGTCTGAAGCCGCTCGAAACCAACAACCACCACAGAGGACAGACGACCAGAGCAGACGTTAGTGCCAACAGACAAAATGTAACACACCAAGTTACCATTTCTCTCATATATTTTAATATATACACTCTGCATGTATACACACTCAGGGTGGTGTAGTGACGTTCCCAGGGAGGCAAAAGTGACGCAGCAAAACATTTACACACACGAGCCACTGCGGAAGTTTACAGTGAAGCAGACGTTGCTGTTTGAACCCAGATTCAGTCAGTGCAGAGGCCGTTTGTGTTTCAGCAGAAAGAAACGACTTCCACCTTGATGAGGTTGATCTTTTTTGTCCTAACCGTTAAGTAAAGGCTCCTACTTTCAGCAGAGTGGCTTTGAGAAGCATGTCGAAGTAAGGCAGGGCGCTCTACTCATTAACGACAGCAGGTGTGAGGTGATGTTTTCCTCCTCTGAGTCACAACTTCAAAAACAAAGACTGAACATGAAACGGCTGCAGGGTTAAGATGGGATTTGTCTTATTTCACTTCTGGGGATGTTCTGGGAGTAAACAGGAGTCTGGCTGCGTAGCTAACCACCTCTCGTACACACACTCGCTCTCCAGTTGATGAAGGTTTAAGCGTTACTCAGGGCATCCACACCTGGCAGGACTTTACCTGAGGACACAAAGAGCAGACGCTCAGTCAGGCTCAACATGTTAAAAACAGTGTTTTCTATTCTGTGAGTGAATATGGGGCAGCTTCTCCCATCACACACCCTCCAGCAGCTCCAGGCTGGCTCCGCCTCCCGTGCTGACATGGCTGACTTTGTCTTCTGTGTTCCACTTGGCGCAGCAAGTAGCGGTGTCACCCCCACC